CCTTTCAAAATTTCACCCCTTTTCATGAACTTTTACTCTTATTATTCGTAGTCCTTTCAGAAAAAATCTTTCACGAAGTCTATATATCAATAAATTTGTATGATAAACCGTCACATCACACCCATTTCCAGAACAAATAATACTTTTTTCTCATCTACTTGCACATCCGGTGTCTCCTTTGTCCTTTTTGCTTTGCTCCAGAATCCCATTATCCTCCCTTCGTGCAGGGTATTCGATTGCCTCTTTTCTTGTTGATGACATCCAGAAGATATTCTTTTTTTTCTCATCTTGTTTTGTTACAGACGTCTTCATTCATTCTTCTATCAAATTCTTCTACTTCGAAAAGAGGTTGAAAGTAGGAACCAATTACTGGAACGGAAAGCCTGGAATAAACGTGAGTAATTAAAAACAGGATAAAGGTTATTTCAGGCGCCATCAGGAGTTATATAGAATCTTGGAATTGAAAATACAGCCGAAGAGAAAAAAAATAACACAATTTCCGAAGCCATATGAAGCCCAACAACTTTTTAAACACTTTTAAGTTCAGTTTCTTTAAGAAAGCCACCCTCACAAAAATTCAAAGATTCCAAATAACTTCCGGGTGCAAATGAAATAACCTCTCTAATTATTGTGCGTTAACTATGTTGTAAACTTTATCTGCATGACGTGTGCCCGTTAATTCGATCTCACTCACAATCAGTGGGAAATATCATGTTCTCCCCAGTCTTCTCAAAGTTCATGTGCAGCTGTTGTGCAAAGTTTTGCGTTTTCCTGGAAAATCTCCGAGAAAGTTTCCCCTGGAAATTTGAAACTTTGCTGTACTTGTATTGAATTTTTCAACCTTTTTCCTTTTTTTTTTGTTTCTTCAATTGTTTTGTTGCTCTTTTTGATGAATTGCGATTTCTGTCAAATCCCAAAAGTTTCAAAAAAAAATTAATGGTTCTCAAATCTCGAGAAAATGAATGTGCACTCGCTTCATTTTTCTGTTTCTACTCTCATCATTTCCTATTCATAGGCGTTTTTCTCCCACTCTGCTCCATTTTCGTGCATTTCCTGGTTCTCCGAGTACCAGGAGCAGAGGACCATGGAATTAGCGCTTCCGCTGGGTTCTTTCGCAGAAACTTTGATTTTTGTGTTGTGTGACGAAACAACAACAGAAAAAGGAGCATTCTCATTGTGGGACCGTAAAGCCTTATGGCTCAGAACGTTAATACTCTGAAATTGTTTTTTTTTTGCTTTGTTGTTGGCAATTTAATCTACAGTAATCCTTCAAAGTTAATGAGTTTTGTGGAGAAGAAAGAAAATGAGAAAAAATGTTTTGACATTTTTATCTCGAGACCGGAACTGCGGCTTTTTTCCTCACCGCTTAATTAAGTCATTTCTTTTCCCATTAGCCATTTATTTTCTCAACATTGTTAAGTAAAAATGTGCTACATTCATTTTGTGGGCCCCTCCCCATAGGAACTTTTTGGCAATGATTCTCAATTTTGTTTTCCTTTTTTGGGCTTCTAAGAAAGAATTTTCCTTTCCGAAAAGAAAAAAAAAGACGGAAGAAAACAATGCGAAGAAGCAGAAAAGAGCTTGACATGCTTCTAGAAAATTGTAGTAGTAAAAAGCCATTGAAATTCTCGAAAAAAGGAATGTAAATCATGTTTTCGGCGCATCTTTTTTCTTTTTTTTTTTGGGACAAAAATGCCAGAGATCCTTGAACCTGGTTGGTAGCAGATGCAATTTCTTTTCTATTTCAAACATCAAACGCCAGAGCGTCATGGAATGAATGAGTGAGAGATTGAGCAAGTCCGGCGAGTGCCGGCAAATTGATGCGTCACTTGTTCAGAATATCTTCACACTCATCACCTGGTTTTTTTTCAATTATTTCTAATCTATGTTTCGAAAATTTCCACAGCTAAAACACCTCACTTTTTAGTTTCATGTTTATTCAGATTTTCTTTTTGTTTTTCTTCCCCAAAAGTTTTCCCACAGGATCCTCTTAAAAACTCTCAGATTTCGTTCTTCATCCTCCCAACCATTTTGTTTGTCCTTCCAAAATTTTAGGAGCTCCAGAAGAAGGAAAAAAACTTCTTCTTCTTCTTCTTCTTCAACGTCAACAATAAAAAACTCAATTCCCTCCAATTTTTTTCGAAAGGTGCACTTAAAGAATATTGCCCAATTGTTCCGGACCAAAGAATCTAGGAATGGAAAATGGGAATTGAGTTAGTTTTGCCTCTCGGAGAAAAAAGGAAAAAAGGAAACGAGGTTCCTCTTCTTCATCTACTCTCATCGTCTTTTTTTTCCAACTTCTTCTTCTTCTTCTTTTTCCTTGTTTTTTGTTTTCTTTTTTTGCTCCAGGCTTCCAGGAGCCAGCTCCAACAACTAAGTAATACATCAAATTAGACCAACTGTTATTATTGTGGGCGTGTGTCATTAGTGTCTTTTTTTCAGTTTCTGGAAATAAAAACAAGTTTTTTTCTAGCAAATATGGCGGTTATCCTGGTTTTCCAAATTTTGACATCAACTAAATTTTATGAAAGTATTTTTTGAATTGAAAAAAATCACGATGAAATTTCGATTTTCTTGTTTTTTCAAACTTCTAAAGTCCCTTGTAAAACTTTGAAAATATTGAAACATCCTGAAACTTACACTAAAACCGGAAGCTCTCAATTTCAAATCAACTATTCCCAAAAGGGAGAAAAACACAGAGCCGAAAAAATGTCTCACAAAAATTCACATGTACATACAACTATTTGAACAGCCGCGTATTTACATTTCAAAGCTTTACTCCGTCTCTTCCCGGCTCTTCCTCCCCCTCCGGGCTTACTAAACCATAGATCTAATTTCGCACATCTCGCGTGGGGTCACACTCATCCATTTCAAAATGTTTATTTCTTACTTTTGTATACTTATAGAAATAGATCCATGACTAAAGATGTTTTTTGCCCTATTCTATTTGCCTTTCGAGTTGTGTATGATTCAGAGAGAAAATGACAGTTTGATGCTCTTATCATACTATAGAAGGTTATCAGAACCTGTCAAATAGTCCGCGAGCAACCTGCCGAAACCATTCCTCACTTGCATAGAACACATTATCGTTTCATTCAATTTTCCCCTTTCAAACTCTATTTTTCCTATCCATCCAAGGAATCTGGAAGCAGTCCAAACCACCACGTAAAAACGTGTCGGCAAAAAAAAAAATTAAAAAAACAAATCAGGTTTGCTCGGTGCTCTCATTACATCACTCTCGCGCGTGGCCCCCACGGGCACATTTTCCTCCATTTTTTCCATCTCTTCTGCTTCTGATCTCTGTTTTCTGGAGAAGAACAAGATGGGAAGCTTGGAGAAAAAAAAGAAGAAGAAGTCAAAGACAATAAGATGAGTGAGGCGGCAGAAAAAAAACCAATGGAAGAAGAAGCACTTGATGATGGAAGAAAACACCCACCCAACCATTTGCACATTATTAGAAAAGAATTCAAGACTAGAGGTAAAATCCAGAAAATGTCAAAGACTAATCTTCTCGGGGCGACAAAGTTGTATGATTCAAAGATTCGGAATGTTCAAAAGCCGGTTTGTCTTAGCTCTAGCCAAACTTAATAATCTTTGAAACACGTGTATAAATTTGGCCGTGCAGAAAACTGAACTTTTCATCCAGTGTTTCATCTCATTTCTTTATTTGCTGATCAGTCTGTGTAGCCAAAAGATGATGTTATTCCAAAGTTCAAGCATTAGGAATTAGATAGGGGTGGGTCGAATGTCTTCTCTCTTCTAATTTCCATGATTTCTGGTCAAGTTTCTGAACAAAAAAGCAAACAGTATTCAGTTTTCTTTGATCCATAATTTTTCACTCATTTGCTAGATTGTTACTGATCTCTAGAGCTTCATTATTTCAAACTTCTGGAGTCAACTGACCCACTCCTTCCTTTTCAAAAGCGCTTTGTTTGCTTTTCTTCAAAATTCCAAAAGAAAAGAAGCACCAAGAACAAAAAAACTTGTTGCCACTACCACCACTCGATTCTTTTTCTCCTGTTTTACTCAAAAAGGTCTCCACTACGTCATTTTTCCTTTCTCCTGGTTTCGCCCACTTTTTCCTAAGCTCATCAACGCTGCACTCCACTTGGAATTCTGTTTTGCAATTTTATGTGGTCTTCGTGAGAAAGTTTGTGGTCGTTTTCGGTGCTCATCTTGCGAAATTCTTTTTTTGCTCCTTGAAAAAAGTTTGGAATGAGTATTTGTGGTTGTAGTTGTGGTTGTTGGTTGATTCAATTGACTAGAAATTGAGATTTTATCATGATTATGTTTAGTTAAGAACTCTCAAGAATCAGCTCTCCCAACAATAACCGCTGATCATCATCTGAAGGCTTTTTTGGCGGCACAAACAACGTTTTTCATCTTATCTCCAGCCAGACGTTCCATGATGACATCTCCAGACGAACAAAGAGAGGAACGGCAGGAAGAAGAGGAATCGCTTTTCCAGAAATTCACGAAAAAATTTCGTTGGTGTTTTTATTTTTTGTTCCTTATACTTCTCACAAATTATTGTTTCTCTCTTTTTTCTTAAGTTCCATCTTATGTCAAAAGATGCTTCTTAAGACTAGAACTCACAAAAAAAATGGGGGAAAAACTAGGAAGTAGAGTAGCAGCACAATATTTTCATTTTCCCATCTTTCGGGCCTTTCTTATTCAATTTTATCTTCAGCATTCTCCCCCATACAACAGACTCCGCCTATTCTGGCTCGCTAACCATCTTCTTCAGAAGAGGGACCCTCTTCTACTACCCCTTTCGTTTTTTTTTCATTCTCTTTTTTCAATTTTCAGAAGAGAGACTCTCACTTGAAAAAAAAATTGCCCCTTACGAAGAATCTAACCACGAAACCGGAAGTCTTATCATTTCTTCTATTTCCACGTTTTTCACCTCTGTAATAAAAATGCGTGCATTCTTCATCTGATTTGCAGAGTCATCTTATCGCATTTTCTGCTCCACATCAAAGCGAGTCTCGCCAACTAAAATGACTGGGCACTGGAGCTACTGTGATGATGATGAGTGTGGTAAGTGAATTAGATTTTCTTCGAGATGAGATTTTATTCAAAAGTTTGCAATTATAGGACCTAATCGTTGGCCAACCGGACAGCATCAGTCCCCAATCAACATTGACTTGGGAGAGGTTGAACGTAAAGATACTCATGATGGAATTAAGTTTGTGAACTATGACCATCCAATCCAAGGAGACATTGTGAACAATGGACATTCAGGTTTATACCTCCTCACATTTTCAGATTTCTCTAAAACATGTTTTTCAGTTCAAATGACCCCGGAACTTCGTTCGGAGCACCCAGAGATCTATGGTGGAGGACTTGACCAGGTCTACCGTCTCGTCCAATACCACTTCCATTGGGGAGAGAATGACAATGAAGGATCGGAGCACACTCTCGGAGGACTCCGCTACCCAGCCGAGCTTCATTTGGTACACCAGGGAGTTGAGGATCCAGGAAAGCTTGCTGTTGTCGGAGTTTTTCTGCAAATTGGAAAAGAGGGAAAAGCGTTATCCAATGAAGAGCGAGTTTTGGGACAACTTCGTAACCCCGAAACTGTGACTCGTGTAGAAAATGTGAGACTCGCTGAGAAGCTTCCCAATAATAGAAGATCTTTCTGGCGGTAATTTTGAGTAGTCGTGTGGTTGCTATTTAGTGCCATTTTCAGATACGAAGGATCTCTCACCACACCACCATGTTCTGAAATTGTTACGTGGACCATCTTCACTGAGCCGGTTACCGTAACCCATGATCAGCTGGAGCTATTCCGTCAAGTTCAGGATATTGATAAGCGTCCAATCAAGAAGAACTATCGCCCAACTCAAAATTTGAATGATCGCAAGATTGTTCACATCGTGGCCAACTAGCTTTATTTTGAAAAAAAAACAGTCCAGTCTATCAATTCAAAATGCCAAATTCAACTTCATGGTTCCTAATTTTTTGCTCTTTCCTCTCATCCCAGTTTTCCCCTTTTCACAGACTTCTCTTTTGTCTCCCAATCCCGATGTACCTAAATTGTAGTTCGCGTTTTCTGCCAAAATTACTGCAATATTAGAAATGTGCTATTTTTACTGACACCACGAAACTCATGGGTTCCCACCATCTACAATTCCATGTTTTGCTGAAACTATTATTTTCAACATTTTAAATGAAACTTGTCTCTAGACTTGCTTTGTTGCTTCCGGGATTTTCATACAAAGCATAAAAGACATCACACGTCACTCGGTGCGTTTTCACAATTTGGACACATACACGACGTACGTGTCAGGATTTGAATGAAAGATTGGTCAATAAAAAAAGATGGGTAGTTGTGGGTGTCACTGAAAAGAAAAAAACGCATACTTCACAAAAAAAAACAGCCTTAGGGGCCTTGAGTGAATGCAACAGAAATGAAATTGAAGTTGAAATTCAGGACAAAAAACAGATTAGTTTTTAAAGCTGAGAAAACATTCAAGACAATTTCAGGGCCCGGAGGGCGCGGTGGACAAGGATTTCCAAATGTGAACAATCTCGAAATTCCAGCAATTTTTCAAATTTTTTTCATATTAAACAACACTCCGTCTGTTGCCTTTTTTATTTGGCAGGAATTTTGTTAAAGTTTTTAATGAACCCTACAAGTGAAAGGCTCCAAAAAAAAAAAAATTGGAGAAACCGTGTTAAATTTCATATTTTTAAAAAACAAAGTGCCTGTTTTCAAAGGAATAACAGAAAGATAGGAACACTAGTAAGGGTCTGTACGGGGTAAAAAAACTGTCAAAAGCAGAATACTAAAAAGCGCCCCGCGCGGTTTTTCGCTTCTCGTTACTGTTTTGGAACCCCAGAAAAATATTCATGATGGTGAGACACGAGAGCGGGAAGAAGAGCTTGTGAGCATATACGTGGAGTGGAATAGAATTGACATGCAAATTATGAGAACGCAGAAAAAAGATTGATTAGAGTAGAATGCATATTCGTATGAGTGTATACACCGACATTAAGGAAATACGCCACAGCCATATGCATTCGTCTTAATACAAAGGGAACTCATTTTGTACACACGCGATATAATGCCGGAATTTTTCCATTTCTGAAGTGTTCGGCACTTTAGAAAATCATGCAATGGAAAAGAAGTTATCAATCGATCAATTTTGAAAATCTGGAAAATTTTGGGACATATTGTTTTATCTTCTTTAGAAATTTTCCACTTTGTTCATCGTTCTTCATTTTTTTTGTTCTTCCCGGTCCAAGTGGAATAATGTTTATTAAAAACAATTATGAATGTTTTGTTGTTTCATAGGATGCTCTTAAACTTCAAAGGTTTCCCGTCCGTTTGAATTCAAGCTGGCAGTGAATTTCAAGTGTAAAGATCTCGGAACTTCTTATTTGATTAAAAAGTTTCCAAACTTTTGTTTTTTATTTTTAAATATCCTTGATGAATTGCAATCATTAGATAAACTAACTTGTGATCTTTTCTAGACTGCCTATGTCTATTTTTGCCAATTATCTGTATATCTTATACAATTTTTGTTTGTTTTTTCAATTCCGTACCCAGGGAAAACACCTCTCCCAAAATAAAAATAAAAAAACCAGCCTGCGAATCATCATTCTCTTGATGATGAAATTGATGAAGTTCTATCAATGAACATTTCGAAGCAAGAAAAAAGAGAGTTGGAAATTTGGCTAATCTAAAACAAACAACAAACTAAGAACATTTTATTGGATATTTCGAGAGATTTACATAAACTTTCTCTGGGAAAATATGCGAGATAAAATATGACTCATACAACACATATCCTGTCTGAAACTCAGAAATTTCAGAAACCCAGAAATAATTTCCGAAATCCAGAGAATTTCAGAAACGCAGTAATTATGTAGAGTCTAAGCAATTTGTCATCAGTCCAATTCACACCCAAATTCCCACGGGGTCTACTATAAACATCATGGAGAATGACTGAATTTTCTACGTCAAAAGTTTTCCGCGTCGGTGTTAGCATTGAGATTTTGGCGGTTCGGGGAGAGCACATCCATCAATTAGGTATGAAGAAATAAATGTTATGTCACCCTATAATTTTCCCGGTTCGAAGGTTTTCCTTTTAAATAATTGGCTTCGTTTTTGCACCCGCCACAGTTGGCCAATCCTGAAGTTCTCGATATCCACTTTTTTATTTTTTGTATTCACAAAATCCATCTTCCCACCCCCACATCATTGTATACGTGAGCGGCTCGAAATCCGCACCATCTAGTCTACTCAACGTCACATTGACATATTACTGCCCATTTTTTCCTCTAGAGCCTATACCGCTCACCAGCAGATCTTTTCTTCTCTATATCCACTGCCTTCTGACTTTGTTGACGGTTTCTAGGCCGTCTATCCCCGGCACTCTATTATGCGTGGCTCTGCGTTTACCAAGGACGCATTTTAAAAAATCGAAAAGACAGCCCAATTTTCCGGCCATAAAAAAGACGCCCCTTTCTCAGTTTTTTTCAGTTTCTCAAGAACCCATTATTAAACCAAATCAATACCCAGTTGTTTTCTTTCAACAAAATTTTATCTTCTTGCGACTGCATTAGCTTATCGATTTTTACGCTTTTATTGATATTTGCAGAAACAATGAGCTTTTTGGACTTTGAGGACTTAAACATGATTCCGTTCACTCGGATTTTGGAGCATTTAACACTTACGGATATGTTTCTCGCGTCGTTCACCAATGAAAATGCTCATAATATTCTTGAAGACCTTTTCGTTCGCACGTTCATCAGCATACAAGCATTCGACGGGAAATTTGATCTGAAAGTGAAGTCGCCTGGACCAAGAGCAACGCTTTGCTTCACGACCCAGAAAACCATTTGCGATCTACCTGAAGGAGAACGGAAAATGGTGCTTCACATTAGAGGTCATAAAATTGAAATGACGTAACTTTTGAATTCTTGTGAAAACATTAGATAAAAATTTATAGGCTGATGCATGGATTGAATCAAAAAGTAAAATACATCCACGTGGAGAAAAAATATGTTCCACTGATGCTGACCGTGGTCTTCGACTATATTCGAGATCTTTTCGGGACCACTGACTTCAACATATGTGTGAGCCTTAACAAAATGCGAAGATACCTTCGGGATATGGACGTCCTTTGTATGACCATCGTGGATAAGAAAATAAGCGCTGGCAGTCTCGAAAGACTTCTAACTAGAATTCGTGTTCACGAGCATCTCAGACTCCTCGCCAAAGTTACTGGATCGCTACCGGAAAACTCTGCTATTCACAATATCAGTCAGTTGCACACACAGGGAACATGGATGAAGTTCAAGCATATTATGCGATTCAATGGAGAACACGCGCTTTTCGATCGCAACTGTTTCACCGAGGAGAATATCGTCGATTTCATTGCTCATTTTTTGTTATGTGGTTTTCCGAATCTCCAGACAGTAATCATGAGGAGCAAGAACAGATTAGATTATAAGAAAGTCACTCAGCATGTTGCTTCGAGACCGTGGGATCCAACTCAGCGAGCACGTCATTTTATGTACACTCCAGAGTGAGTGACATTTTGCTTTCTTTTTTTCGGGCATGACAACAATGCAGAAATCAAATCAAAGCTTTTCAGGATCTCCAGCGTCATGAATGATCAACATTTGAGACAATTAACCGATTGCACCTATGGGTTTGACATTGTATGTGGGCATGGAAGACTAGCAACATTCCAAATCACTCCCAACCACTTTGTATTTTTTGTCTGGACTGACCCCTTCCCATGGAGACACATGCTTGTTGATCATCATTGAAACTTTATTCATTATTCTGAAATTTGTATTATTCAAGCTGCTGTAATTCCCGTATAACCCCAAAGCTGTCTGTTCAACTTTAATTTAAGTTTTTAACCTGATTTTCCCGGGATCACATTTTCAAAATCCTTCAACTTGCTTTGATGTTCTTAATAACATCTCATGTTTTTAATTCTATATTAATCAATATTATTAATTGTATTAATTATATTAATTGCCTAGAATTTTAGGTTTTATCATTTTATAAAACTCACAAAATATTTCAATACCCTTATTTCCAACACCGATTGTTTAACTTCTCATATTTGGATCTCGTTCGGGCTGAGTAGTTATTCTTCTGAAGTTTCCACAACAAGAAATATACATTATACTTCATTTCCTGCATATTTTTCAAAATGTAATCATTCCTATAATAAATAAATGAAGTTGCGCCTCTTTATCTGTGGCTCTGTCCGCAAATTTTGAAAAGATGGAAAATAAAATATAGATTTACGTGAATTTTAAAAAGTGAATCGCGAAGCGACGAACAGTAAAAGAAACAGCTTAATTCCAGCTGTTTGAAGCGCCGGAGGTGCGGCAAACAGGCTGGTTATGTATAAAACTTGAAATAATTAAATGTCCCTCATAAATTTTTTCTACAGTATTAGGACCTCTTACTTTATTGTCGGACCAACTAGATCTACTCTCTGCTCATTTCATATGGAGATTGCGCAAGACCAAGCGGAGCTCTTTTTCACTTTCCGCCCCTCCGGCATCTTTCGTCAGCTCATCGTCTCCTCTTTGTACTCAGCTGTTCTCGGTTTAAAAAGAAGACGTCGGAGGGAAAAAACCTCTGCTGCGGTATGTCATAAACGCGCGCATCTTGTTACGTCACCCGCCTGAGCGGCAAGTGTTTCTTGAATTGGAATGATTTATGGATAGAATGGGATTGGGTTAAGTTAGGGCGATGAAAGTGAAAAGACATGATTTGGATCTAAATGTTGGTTTTGAAAGGGATACTGTAATAATGTGGCGAGGAGGAAAGATGGCAACATTGTAACTGTTGCTATGAAGATCATTGCGAAAAGTAGAATGTTGTAGACCCCTTTTTTCATAGTTTCATAAGGCCGGGCCGGGCCGGTAAACAAATTTTCTCTTCCCGGCCCGGCTCGGCCCGACCCCGGGCCGGCCCGCCTACCACTGTTGAAATTTCCCAATGAAAATTTGGGTAATTTTTTTGAATTAAAAAAGAAAAAAGGTTACATTATTTAACAAAATTAACAAAGTGGAAAGTAGTCGAAAAATAGGACGTTATTGTTTAAATTTTTGAAAAAATTCCAAGAATTTCGAAAAAAAATTCAAAAAAAAAACCAGCATCTGTATGTACCCCGGCCCGCGGGCGGGCCGGCCCGAGATTTTGCAACTATGCTTTTTTACGTTGGGTTCAGTTGTTTATGTTCCCATTGGTTTTCTTTTGTGTTTGCGTAGCTATTAAAAAATGCAACAACTTTTCTTTCCAAATTACCGCCTTTTTGAGGTATTCAGAACCCAAAAAAAGATAATCCAATTACGCAACCATACCACAGATTATTGTATCTTTTCCTTTTCTTAACCGATCCTAATTGTAACAAACGCAAGATTGTTTGACACCATTTGATGTACTTTCGACTAATCCTGTGCCAGATATTCTTCAAAAAGAATCCCTCTGATCTGTTTGCGTACCTCTCCCATTCCCGAGGAAGACGCTGAATACGCAATGTGGCATCTCGCGGCACACACCACTTGTTGTTTCTACCCAGGATTTTCTGGCTCGGGGTCCCTGACCTGAAAAGTAAAAGAGTTATTATCCGGAAGGAGCACACACACCCCCCCCCCCCCCCCCCCGATGTGGGACAGGCGTCTCTTTTTCCTCTCTGTCTTCTTCGGGGTCCCAATTGCCACTCCCGTCGTTTCTGATATGCGCTCGTAAAAGATAATTCCGCTTGGGAGGATGCCTTGGGATGGAGACAGCTGTCGTTGAAGACACTCTCGAGGTCCGTCTCACTCTCTTTTTGTTTCTGTGCTGGGCAATGAAAGTAAGGGAATTGGCTAACAGACAGTGGACACGTCGAATACCTGCTGGGCAGAAAAGAGATACTCGGTCTGTGCGGATCAATCTCAAAAGTGACCGCCTGCGGTCAGTGAGATGGTTCAAAACTAGGGTCAGATTTCAGTCTTTTGGATTAGTGGGACAATCAGCTGATGATTTTGGTTTTTGAGGGAAAAGTGAGAAGATAATATTATCGGTGTCACGAGAAGATGAATTCTGAAACTGAAAATAACTGAAATTTCAAAGATTGAGGAAAATAATAAGATTTATACCCGGGAAATTAAAAATTTCAATAATTTTTGAGATGCTAGATGTGTTTTGAATATCATTAAAGATATGCTAATATTCTGTAAACTGTCTCTAATTCTCCTCAATTGAAAATTACTCTCGGGTAATAATGGACCATGTGTTGCTCCTGCCAAAATGAAATTTCGCCGTTTTTTGAAACATCTGTTGTTAGACATTCTGTCTCTATTGCTTCATTTAGACTCCTACTATAGAAACCAAACCCTCCATGCTTCTTCTGATACTTTTCCGAATTTTTGGATTTGTTCGCAACAAGGAAGTGATATGATAACGGCAGACATAGTCGTTTTTTATTCACGCATGTTATAAAATGTTTCTTATTTCTCTTTTTTCAAAAATGATTATCTAAGAGGAACGATTGATCCGCGTCTAGTGCGGCCGACGGCAATTTTTTTCTCTCATTTATCTAATTGATAAGAAAAGAAGGAGAGGGTATCTAAACGTGCCAAAAAGTCCAAGATTAGTCCTTCACCTCTTCCTCAATATCTACTCTTCATTTTGGAACATCATATTTGCCCTGTTCTAGTACCTCTTGAAAAAGCGTCTCTAGCCGCCGCGTAATATCTCAAGCCCAAGAGTCTACCGCGAAACTGTGCCTTATCTCTCCATGTGCTGTGTCCACGGAAAGTGAAGGCGCCGCGCTGCGCAAGCGTTATCTCTTTATCCCTAAGCACAGGAGCAACCCACCGGAGAGAGCGTGGGAGACGGCAGACTAAAGAGCTTGATCTATTTCGCATAGTTCAATTGTATGATGGGGGCACCAGTTTTTGTTGCAAGTTTTTTTTCGGTCTTTATTGGTCTTTAATTTCCCCTTTTAGACCCTCCATATGTTATAAACATAGGATGGTGTTGGTGGTCAATTGCATAGTCACTGTCCAAAAGGTGTTTCATGGAACTTGTTTTTTTTCGCATTTTTTTCCAGCGTGACAATCTGATTGGCCGAAAGAGAAGCTGCGTTCTTCGCCAACTCCTATTTTCAGTTTTTCAGATTTTAATTGACTATAGCATCATATTTCCAAAAATTATTTTGTTTAACAACACCTGTTCACTTCCAAAAAATGGACCACCAACCTTTTTTCTCGAGCAAAAAAAGAAAGGGATTCCCTCTAGAGTAGACTTTACAAAATCTTAATTTACACTAAAAATTTCATCTTGACCGCCGAACCCGAAGCGTGTGTTTGTGTATTGTCAGTGTATCCCGTGGGAAAAAAGAATTGTTACAACTTTTCTCGAGAAAAAAAAATTAAACTGGACCGGGGAATCCCCGAACTTCCAGAGATATTTTTAGTAGGTTGGGGTTAGAAGGCAATCTGATTTGCCATAAATCTCATTGGATTTCTGATGACAAATGGGGTAAGGAAGGAAGACACTTATTACAATTTGACGATTTATTATCTACCGATTCATGTCAATTATTCATCATTTTTAGGGTATTCCCAGAATTCAGAGCAACTGTTCTCGCAAGCGCCCTATCATTATTTTTGTTCCACAAAGAATTATGAGAGCAATATTTATTGGTTTCTCTGCTTCCTAGTTCATCGTTTCATCCTTTTCGTGGTATATTCAGTTCATCAGATTCCTGGGTTACTGTAGATAAAAAACCTTTACACTCTGATAATGATATTTGTAACCAGGCAGGAAGTGATCAATCCTCTCTCTACAATAAACAAGCTTATCTTTTCCATTTCCATCTTCCCTTTAAACCATTTTTGTTTCTCTTCCTAGGCTTCTTCATTGACTATTTCCTAGATTTTCTCCTCCTCCTTGTTTTCTTTTTTCGCCTTTTCCTTTTTCGTCCCTCTTGCGCAAAAGATGTTACGCAATCCAAAATTTCACTCTCATTTGCCATCGGGCGCTTCATCCGTTAGCAAGTTTTGACGCCAAACCGTCGTCAAGCGTTTTCAATTTCATTAATGGAGAGGGGAGACAGGAAGGAAGCGTAATCGAAAAAAAAAATACGCATACACGGCGTGGATGAAAAGAAGATTTGTTTTTTTTTCTTGAATTTTTCAAATTTTTACATTTTTCAAAGTTTGCATGCTAGAAAAATGTCTAAAGTTTACTCTAACTGTTTGAAAATTTATCCTAATACAATATCACTAAAATTATCCCCTTTTGCATTTTTTTTCCTCCTAGAACTTTTTTCCAGCTCTGAAACGTCCATCTCTAGTTTATCATCTGGAGCTCATTATTATTACTCATTGAATTGGCCGTATCCAGATGTCTCACTCGGGTGTCGTTTCGCCTTCTTTCTTCTCGAAATATGAAAAAAAAAAGTAGAAAAGAAACGAGCTTCTTTTTTTCTTCGGACGCGCGGGGCTCCCGCGACTCGTTGGAGCCCGCCGATCTACCACATGACTTTTAACGACTATGCGTTGGCGTATCCTTCTTGCAGAGGCAAAATCAAAAAAATCCAATCCAATGATACCCTTGGTATTCTGCGAACTCTGATCGTGCGAGGATCCCATACACAGCTGCGTTTAGGCTGGTGGATTTTTTCTGATCCTCCTCTCTAGTCAGCCATTATTTTAAGATACCTATCTAGTTATCATCAGTTTCCTCTTTTCACTTTTCCTCCCATGGTTAATTATATGAAGAAGCAGAGACAGACCCAAAAAAATTGGATGGGAGGAGAAGCCTCTGCAAGTAATAGGTGATGATGGGTCGTCAACCTTATACCTCAAACTGACATCAGAAAAAGGATGCTAATTATCAGTAGCTTCAACTAGACAAGACATAAATCATTGCAACAAATGGCAAGTTTTGCCGTCAGAAACAAAAAGAAAAGCCCTCCCAAACAAGAGGTAATTTGAGGAATGGTGCTTAGTAGAATGACGAAATGATCAGAGTTCGAACCTATAACCCCAGGCAACCCTTCCAGACCATAATACAATCATGAGACATTCCCCTCTTGCCACCAAAACTTGATTCCCGCCCTTCTGGGTCGAAGCATAACCCCCGAAGATAGATATGATTGCTTTTTTTGTGTCTTCCCGCTTGTTTTGTTCATTTTTCTCTTTTTCTCGCTTTCACCTTTCACTCTTTTTGATTGCGATAGATGGCATAACTTCGCCACACCGCCATCCCGTACGCCCTTCCTCTCTCTCTCTCTATCCTTATTCCACTTTCTCCTCCAACCCTCTTCAAGCAGCTTTAATCGTTTCAAACGTTTCTCATTAATCTAAAACTCATAAGGACAACGCATAACGACCGCTGTCCCGGAAAAAGTTGGATTGTTCGTTGGCAGCTTCTTCTACCTCTTCTTCTTCTTTTTCTTCCTCAACCATCTTTCTCCCAGCCACCCCCATCATCGTACCCTCTTAATGATGTTCGTTTCCATCTCCTCTCACCTACCTTCACCACCTACTTTACCTTTGGCATCATCCTCCCCCGTTTCCCCACATTTGTCAAGATGCCGATATCATTCGACTTTCATCTTTTCACTCTTTTCACTTCTTCTTCTGCTTGGATAATCCGCGAAAAGGTGGTGCCGCGCCGTTGGTGCTCTCATAAATTTGAAAATTCAACAATTTGCCTGGTGCGCGAAAATGCACACTTCCTTTGAAATGGTGCCGCCGTTGTTGCCTGAGACAGTTGTTACCCACCTCAGAAATTGATAGATAGCAGCTCTAATTTTTTTTATCAGAAATTTGAAAAAAGATAGTAGAAGTATGAGCAGAAATTCAAGTGTACACTGTTTGCCCAAATTTGACTCATTAGGCAAGAAACAAAAAATCTGAGTAATCATTACTGATTGGGAACAATGGAACATAAGAGAAGTCTCACCTTTTTTCTTCCATCTTTTTTTTTGAAAAAAAAATTAAACTCTGTTATCCCAGATGTTATCCCAGAGGTGATATGAATTCTGTGCTTCAAATAGGTTTTATTTTCTCAAATCTCTAGTAAAAGGCCTATCAATTCACCTTAATTGCCGTAACGATTCTGATATGACTAGAAGGGAAGCTATGATTGAG